ATTTCTCTCAGAGGACTTAATCCTTTGTGGGAGGAGGAAAGGCAAGAGCCTCCTATCCAGACATCTTGCTCCCATTTGTATTTCTATATTCTAGAAATGAACAATCTGAAAATGAAGTAAAAAATATTGTGCATAATAGCATCAGGAAACATAAAATACTAATTTGGCAAAAGGTATGCAAGACTTATAGAACAGAAACTACAAAAAGTCACAGAAAAATTTAGGAAGACTGAAATCAATAGCAAGAATTCAAAGATTCTTTATTCTAAGATGTCAATTAGCTCCAAATTAATTAATAGATTTAACACAACCACAGTCAAAATTTCATCAGAATTTTTTTAAAAAATTGATTTTTAGAGAGAGAGGAAGGGAGAGGGAGAGAGAGAGAAACATTGATGTTAGAGTGAAACATTGATTGGCTGCCTCCTGCACACTTCCCTACAGAGGATCAATCCTGCACCCTGGTTACGTGCCCTGACCTGGAATTGAACCCGGCAACCAACCGAGCCACACTGGCCAGAGCTCATCATGATTTTTATAGCAGTTTGAGAAGTTTATTCTAAAATTTATATACGAATGCAAAAGACTTAGGTAGCTTAAATAATCCTGAAGAAGAAAAACAAAGTTAGACGATATACACTACCTGATTTTAAGACTTACTACAAAGTGACAGTCATCAGAACAGTGGGCGTTTTTTTTTTTTTTTAATTATTTTTATTAATTTGTTTTTGTTACAGACGTTTCTCCTTTTTCCCCCATTGACACCTCCTCCCCCACCCCCCACCCCATCCCCAGCTTTGTTGTCTATATTTATTCGTCATGCATACATGCATATAAGTTCTGTGGTTTATCTCCCTCTCTCACCACCCCCTCTTCTGAGGTTTGCCAGTCTGTACCCTACCTCTATGTCTCTGGGTCAATTTTGTTCATCAATTTGTTTAGTTCATTATAGTCCACAAATAAGTGAGATCATGTGATATTTGTCTTTCTCTGCTTGGCTTGTTTTGCTTAGCATAATACTCTCCAGGTCCCTCCGTGTCATCTCAAAGGATAAGAGATCTTTCTTACAGCTGCATAGTATTTTATTGTGTACATGTACCACAGCTTTTTTATCTACTCATCTACTGATTGACACTTGGGTTGTTTCCAGATCTTAGCTATTATAAACAGTGCTGCTATGAACATAGGGGTACATATATTCTTTCTGATTGGTGTTTCTGGCTTCTTAGGGTATATTCCTAGAAGTGGAATCACTGGGTCAAATGGCAGTTCAATTTTTAACTTTTTGAGGAAATGCCATAGTGTTTTCCATAGTGGCTACACCAGTCTGCATTCCCACCAGCAGTGTACTAGAGTCCCCTTTTCTCTACACCCTCACCAGCACTTGTTGTTTGATGATTTGTTGATGGCAGCCATTCTGACAGGTGTGAAGTGATACATCATAGTTGTTTTAATTTGCATCTCTCTGATGATTAGTGATGTTGAGCATTTCTTCATATGTCTTTTGGCCATTTGTATGTCCTTTTTGGAGAGGTGTCTATTTAGGTCCTCTGCCCATTTTTTAATTGGGTTCTATGTCTTCCTTTTTTTGAGTTGTATGAATACTCTATGTATTTTGGAAATTAACCCCTTATCTGATGCATCATTGGCAATTATGGTCTCCCATATAGTGGGTTCCCTTTCCATCTTGATGGCTTTTTCTTTTGCTGTGCAGAAACTTTTTAGTTGGATGTAGTCCCATGTGTTCATTTTTTTCTTTGTTTCTCTTGCCTTAGGTGTTGTATCAGTGAAAATTCTGCTGCGTATGATGTCTGAAATTTTGTTGCCTACATTTTCTTCTAGAATTTTTATGCACATAAATCTATGGGACACAGTGAAAACAGTCCCGAGATGGAAGTTCATAGCACTACAGGCCTACCTCAAGAAACAAGAAGAGCCCTGGCCAGTTTTGCTCAGCGGTTAGAGCATCAGCCTGCGGTCCTGAGAGACCCGGGTTCGGTTCCCGCTAAGGGCATGTACCTGGGTTGCAGTTTGTCCCTGGCCCTGGTTGGGTCGTGCGGGTGGCAGCCACTCAATGTATCCCTTTCACGTCGATGCTTCTTTCTCTCTCTCTTTTCTTCTCTCTCCCCCACTCTATCTGAACAAAGAACAAAAAGATATCCTTGGGTGAGGATTAAAAAAAAACACACAAAAAACCAAGAAAAATTTCTAACTGACTTTCTAAGCTTACAACTTAAAGAACTAGAAAGTTAAAAAAAAGAAAAACCCAGAGCAAGTAGGAGGAAAGAAATAGTAAAAGTCAGAGCAGAAACAAATGACATAGAAACTAAAAAACAATTCAAGAGATCAGTGAAACAAAAAGCTGGTTCTTTGAAAAAATTAACAAGATTGATGGACCTTTAGCCAGGCTCACCAAGAAGCAAAAAGAGAGAAACCAAATAAACAAAATCAGAAGCAAATGAGGAGAAGTAACAACTGACACCACAGAAATACAAAGGATCATCAAAATATACTATGAACAATTATACGCCAACAAATTGGACAATCTAGGTGAAATGGACAAATTTCTAGAAACACACAGTCTCCCAAAACTGAACCAGGAAGAGATAGAAAACTTGAACAGACCAATAAAAACAAAGGAAATTGAAGATGTAATTAAGAAACTCCCATCAAACAAAAGCCCAGGCCCGGATGGCTTCACAGGGAAGTTTTGTTTTTTTTTTGGAAGAAAAGCTTCAATGCACTTGATGGGCACCTCAAAGAATAAAGACATGGAATTGGGGATGGAGGATAAAAGGAAAAGCATTGCAATATAAAACAAATTCAAAACATAGGAATATAAAATTTCCTGCATGGGCTGATGCAGTTTTATGCAGCTAAAGACTTCAAGAGTGAAATTAGAAAATAAAATGAACATTATATAAAAGTTGGATTTTTACATATAGGGCCATCTTGAATGCTGAAATTGTACAATCACAGAATATACTCTCAAGTTAAAATATGCATCTTCATATATGGAGAGTTTAGAGAATTGAACAAAGAAATTTCCCTTTGGGGTAGCATATCTTCATCTTATTTATTTATTATTATTATTTTTTAATCCTCACCCGAGGACATTTTTCCATTTTTTGTTCAGATAGAGTGGGAGGGAAAGAGAGGGGGAGAGAGAGAGAAACATCGACGTGAAAGGGACACATCGAGTGGCTGCCACCCACACAACCCAACCAGGGCCGGGGACAAACTGCAGCCGAGGTATGTGCCCTTAGCGGGAACCGAACCCGGGTCTCTCTGGACCGCAGGCCGATGCTCTAACCACTGAGCCAAACCGGCCAGGGCTATTTATTTATTTTTTAAATTAATTAATTTATTTTTGTTACGGATGTTTCTCCTTTTTCTCCCACTGATTTCCCCCTCCCCCTCCCTCCTCACCCTGTCCCCACCTTTGTTGTCCATGTCCATTGTTCACATATACATGCATATAAGTTCTGTGGTTTCTCTCTCTCCCCACCCCCTTTTCTGGGGATTGTCAGTCTGTATCCCACTTCCACGTCTCTGGGACTACCCCGTTCCTCAGGCTGTTATGTTCATTATATTCCACAAATAAGTGAGATCATTCACAGGGAATTTTACCGAACATTCAAAGATCTAATACCCATTCTCCTTAAACTATTCCTAAAAATCCAAGAAGACAAAACATTTCCAAACTCATTTTATGAGGCCAGCATAATCTTAATTCCAAAACCAGATAAAGACACTACAAAGAAAGAAAACTACAGGCCAGTATCCCTGATGAACACAGATGCCAAAACCCTTAACAAAATATTAGCAAATCAGATCCAGCGATACATCAAAAAAATTACTCATCATGACCAAGTGGGAGTAATTCCAGGGATGCAAGGATGGTGGGTGTTGTTGTAAGAATACACAAGAGAGCCCAGCTGGTGTTCAGTGGACTGAGGGTCGTCCCATGGACTGAGAAGTCCTGGTTCGATTCCTGGTCAGGGCACATGCCCGGGTTGTGGGCTCCATCCCCAGTAGGGGGTGTGCAGGAGGCAGCTGATGGATGTTTCTCACATGGATGTTTCTATCTCTCCCTTCCTTTCTCTCTAAAATATCAGTAAAAAAAATATTAAAAAATACACCAGAGACCAGCCAACTTATTTTGTAGAGGGCTGGATAGTAAATATTTTAGTCTTTGTGGCCATGTAGCCTCTGTAACAGCTACTCAATCCTGCTGTTGTATCATGAAAGTAGCCACAGATAAGATGTAAACAAATGGGTATGACTATGTTCCAATGAAAGTTTACTTACAAGAAAAGGCAGTGAACCAGATCTGGCCCATAGGCTGACTGATAGAACAGATCAGAATGTCTAGAAATACCCCCATGTTTATAAGGACACATTCTGAACATTCTAAATGGTTGAATGTGTGTGTGTGTGTGTGTGTGTAATGTCTTTTCAATAGTGTGCTGGACAACTGGATAACTGTATAGGAAAAAATATAAATCTTGACCCCTACTTCAAACTCTGCAGAAAAATGAATTAGAAATGGCTCATACGTCTAAATGAAATTTTGCTTTTTTTGTAAAAGCAAAAATTGTAATACTGTTAGAAGAAAACATTGGAGAATACCTTTGTTTCCTTGGGAGTAGGCAAAGATTTCTTAGAATGCATAAAGTACTATTCATAAAAGAAAAAAAAACTAATAAATTAGATTTCACAAAAAATAAAAACTTCTGCCCATCAAAAGATACTTGAAAAATGAATAGGCAAGTCCAGGATGGGGAAAATATATTTGCAATACATAAATCTGACAAAGGATTTTTATTTAGAATATATAAAGAACTCTAACAAATCAATGTAAAGAGACAAACAACCCAATAAAAATAGCAGACTTGAACAGGCACTTCAAAAAAGAAAAATAAAGAAAAAAAAAAGATATACAAATGGCCCAAAGCACAGAAAAAGATATATCCTCTTTAGGGAAAAGGTTGGTATGTTTCAGATATAGGTGAGATAAGTATATCATGTTAAGAAGAAGGTTGACTTTGCTTTGTTATGATTTAATGAGGTGTTTATGGATGCCGAGTTGACAAGGGGTAGACTGTGATGGGTTTAAAAGTGTTGACTTGGCTAGGCTGAACTGTTTTCCAGAATTCCTTTCCCTTCTATGTATGTTTCTAGTTAGGGTGGGCATCAACAAAATTTGGTGGTTGGAAATGAAGCAGCAGCCATACTGTTTTTATGCACGGAAGATTAGTGCAAGGCAGCAGAGTGCTCATGCATGTGCATTGCATGGGTGTGAGGCAGCAGCTGGGTCTGCAGCTGCTCCACCTTCCCGGATCCTCCTCAGCCTCTGACTCTGATCAGGAGTGTGTTTAGCTCCATGATGAAGGGAGCCAACTTCTCCTGCAGAACTCTTGTCTCATCAAAACGCAGCCACTGAGAGAGACTGACATGAATTCTGGTCATTATCATGGGTTTTAGCACAGGCTCCTGGGTTCTAGTTTGCCCTGCAGACTTGAAGCTCTAGAATCAGAAAACAGCCTTGCAGAGACAGTTTAACCATATATGGATATGTATATATGTATCATCTTCTTACATTTCTATATTAATATAGAAACCTCTATATGTACTATTTCTCTCACTGAACCCTGCTTGATAGAGAATCACTGGGTGAAACTGCTTCCTGAAGTCTCCCTGGTTCCTTGAGAAGGCTTCCCCCACTTTTCTTCAGTGATGTCCTCCAAAGCCCTCTGGAGAACCAACCCGAGGGTCTGCCGCAGCTGCTTCTGCTGCCTAAAGGAGCCAACAAAAAAGTAAATGATGGGGTTGGCACTGCTGTTAAGACTAGACAAGATAATCCCAGTTCTTGTAAGGAAATATGAAAACGTTTCACTGCAAAATTTCCGAATCCAGTAACACAGAAACCACTTGAAGCCAAAGGGCAGGCCGCAGAGGAGGAAGACCAGCACTGTGAGCATGAGGGTCACGTAGAGCCTGGTCAGCGGCACCCGCTGGGAGCCACACAGCAGTCTGGTCATCAGTGCCAGGCTGGACCCAGAGAGGAGCACGAGTAACAAAATCAGCCACGCAGCAATGATGAAATCAAACGCCTGGCACCAAGCTTGGTAACGTTGCGTCTCCAGGAAGCCACAGTAGTTCCCTTCCAGGATGCTCAGCAGCAGGGACAGGGCCCAGAGCAGGGCACACGTGACGGCTGACAGGTGTCTGGGGCGGTGGGAGCGGTACCAGATGGGCCTCAGGACTGACAGGCAGCGCTCTGTGCTAATGGCGCTGAGAATGCTCAGGCCTGCGATGTAGGCGAAGATGGACACAGTGAGGAAAATATAGGGGATGGAAATACACACGGAATGGAATTTGTAGATGAGTGTCCTCAGGGAAAACACAATCTGGCAGCAGAGGAAGAGGCAGTCGGCTCCCGCCAGGTTGAGGATGTAGACAGAGAAGGGGTTCCTCCGCATGCGCAAGCCCAGCAGCCAGAGCACCACCGCATTTGCTGCCAGCCCAGCCAGGGCAATGATGAACACCAGAACAGCTGAGGTCAGGGTCCCCTTGGCACACTTAGAGAGGGCTGAGTTACTTCCATTCATTGGTGTGAGTTTAGTCCCCCAGGCTGTGACACTCGGATCCAGGCCCACAACCTCTGTAGTGGTGACACTGAGAAAAAACAATATTTGAGTACCAGGTATGATCACTGATTCTCGCAGCCACCATGCTATGTGGTTACTGTTCCGTGTTACAGAGGAGGGAAACGTAGGATTCCAGGGGTTCAGATACGTATGGGAGGCCACACAGCCTTGGAGCCCTGGACTTGGAATCAAACCCAGTTCTCTCTGACTCTAGAGCCTGAGCTCTCTCCACTGCAACATGGACCCTTTACTGACTTGGAAATACTCTGCAGTCCCATCATGTCCCCCTGACCCCAGCTTCCAGTCACTGTCTAGAGGTAATGCCACGTCCCCAGAATTTTCTGAAGAAGGAGATCAATATCTGGGGTAGAATCTGAGAGACCCAGAGATGGTTATGGGCGCAAGTGTTACTTCTGTCCTGGGCTGGGATTTCCCCCTCAGCAGCATGAAGTCAGGAAGAATGGAGATGACCACAGTCTACCCTCATGACTAACAGGCCCATCCACCAAGGAGAAAGACCATGCTTTAGGGACATGCAGAGAATGTGACCTCTTGCTAGGACAGGTGTGAGGATGACAAGGCCAGGTGGGCTCAAAATAGCTCACTGTGTCATTTCTACAAAGATGGAAGCACTTTTTATCCCCAGTGCCTAGCTGTGTGTGGCACACAGTGTTTCTCAATAGATATTTATTCAATGAAGGATAAATGAATGAGGAATGTAATGGCAGTGGAAGATTTGAGTTAAATGTAAAAAAAAAAAAAAGAAAAAAAGAAAACAAGGGCATTACAACATATGTGTAATGGGTGAAGGAAATTTCATTCATTGTAATTCTTTTCGTGGAAGGTCTGTGTGTATTTAGAAGAGTTACCAAAAAACTTGCCCACTGACCACTGATGTGCATTTGAAGTGAGGACTCTACGTGGCCTTACAGAGCACCTGGAATCATTTTGGGGCTCAGCTGGGGGTGAGATTTGGGGCTGAGCTGAGTTCAGCAGAGGAAGTGAGGATGAGGTCTGAGTGCCAGATAGTGGGGGACTATTAAGTGGAATGCTGCTCCACTCTTTCTCCCAGATCTTTTGTAGGGTTTGTTTTGTTGACGGAAGTGTTTCTGTGAGAAGAGTGTATGAGGGGAAATGGGAAAGTGCAGGGCTTGGAATGTAAAGAGAGATGCTCAGGCCAATGTCAACTGGACCAAGAGGACTAGCTCACCTGTGAGGGTTTAATAGCAGCTGCTTGAGAATTAATCAGGTATTGTCTCTGTATTCCTCTCAAGACCTCTTTGAGGAAAGAACTAGTTCTATTCCCATTTTGCAGAGGATGGAATTGATTCCCCCCAAAGATGAATGGTTTGCCCCTGGTCTCACACAGTGTAGATCTGACATCAGAAGGGCTCCCTCAGGGTTTGCACTTCAGCCAGCCCTGCAGACCCACCACCACTATCGTGTAGATTACTCTCAGCCAGGGGAAAAGCAGAAAAGTGATTCCCAAGTCAAATTCAAGATGGCAGTCAAAACTGTGGATTAAAAAAGAATCTAACATAAGCAAACTCCAGAAATACAGAGAGGAAGAGAAGCCAGTGCAACAGGAAACATGGAGAGATGGGTGGAAGTCAATTAGGAACAGACAGCAGAATCCAGGGGCCTTTCCTGCCTCAGAAAGTCAGCCATCACTTCGAAATCCAGAAGACTCGCATGGGCAGAAGGCCCAGCTGGACGAGATGCACCCTCCTCCTGGACGTAGGGAGGAGTCAAGCACAGAATAACCTATGGTGTGTTCTCTTAGAGGGACGAGCCCCCAGAGCCCCGATGGTCCAGAAACAGATGTGAGAGGAAAACTAGAGTCTCTACCATCCCTACTCAGAAAACTTAACCGTCAGTAGATCTGTTTTCTAGTGTGTGATAAGTGTCATCCTTATCAAACTGGAAACTTCACAAGGACTAAATTGAGTCCGTTATTCACTATTGTATTCCCAGCATTTAGTATATGTCCTGTAAGGACCATCTATCATAATATCCTTGTTTAAAAAAGGGAGAAAATGAGGCCTACCACGTCAAAGGAATTTTCCTGCGATCTCACTGTGAAGAGGGGCCCACCACGGGTCCTGGTCGCCTGGAACCCTGTCCCAGGCTTTCCCACTGTTTTCTGTTACATTGCTCATTATCTCTGAGAAGCCCCTGAAAAGTCTTTATGTGAACTCAGAATGTAAGGGACAAGCAGCGGGTGCTGAGACTATTCATTCTCCTCTTCCGTCACATAATGATTCTGAGAGTTTTAAGACCAGAGAAAGGCCCTGGCCAGTTTGCTCAGTAGTTAGAGCATCAGCCTGCGGTCCAGAGAGGCCTGGGTTCAGTTCCCACTAAGGGCACGTACTTCAGTTGCAGTTTGTCCCCGGCCCTGGTTGGGTCGTGCGGGTGGCAACCGCTCGATGTGTCCCTTTCACATCGATGTTTTTTGCTGTCTTTCTCTCTCCCTCCCACTCTATCTGAACAAAAAATGGAAAAATGTCCTCGGGTAAGGATAAAAAAAAAAAGACCAGAGAAAGGACCCGATTTCCCAATGGGAGGTGAGCAGACATGACATAACCAATGTCTGGGTTGGGCCTTTAACAGAAGCAGCCTGGCTTCCCCTTCCATCTTTCCGTGTCTGCTGCTAAATGCTGAAGTGTCTGGGAGCCATGTAGGACCACGAGGATGAGGACACCTGTCTAGGGATCGGGAGAAGCAAGTTGGAAGGAATGCTTGTGTCTGAATGCCTTGTAGCCTCCAGTCCAGGTGGAATAAACTTGTTTAAGTCTTCATTACAACAGGTCCCTATTTGAGAAACCGGTCTTGTATTCTAACCCATGAAGATTATGTTTTCCTTTTAAAATTACATTCCAGTGGCAAGACATTTCTTATAAATGCAGGTGATTGTGTCATAAAAGTGAAACTAGAAAAGGAAAGTGTGAACAGAAGTCAAAAATAACTCCGAGGGAGATGAGATGAGAAATGATTTGATGACAGGAAGATAGAGAAAAACCCAGGAAGTCGAAAACTGGGAGGAGGTCAAGGAGACGTGAGGGATAGTGTGCATTTGCTCTGAGGACCCCCTTTCCATCCTTCTTTACCTTGTTTGGCAATTCAAGAGGGTGGCTTCTAGGTACGTCATCAGTGGAATCCTGTCCTTTTGATTTCTTGTTAAAGTGAGCTACCAGGAGACTGGAGGGTGGGGAAAAAGAGATTTGGGCTTTTCATCTCCTCACTCTTTCCCTGCTGGGCAGTGTGTTGGCAGTGGCCCTGCTTCTGCACCTGGCTGGTGTTCCTTGCCTATTGCTACTGCTATGATTACAGCTCTGCTCTCCCTGTGTACTTGCTCCTTCCCTGACCTAAAGCTTCAGGGTGGAAACAGTGCTTCACTATTGCTCGCCTTAGGGTACTTCATCATGCATTGTCACTTTCCCTTAAAACTGCTCAATAGTCCCTCCTGAAACACTCCTCCTTTATCCTTGTTTGGGCTGTTTACCCCTGGGACTCTGCCAGATCCACAAGAGAAACTATTTTAAAGACAATGAAATCTGGGTTAATAGCAGTTCTGACCTGGGCAGCAATGTTTACATTTTATCCTGCCCCCTAAATTAATGTAAGAGGCAACATTCTCTCCATGATAACAGATCTGAATGGTTGGAAGGAAGGGAATCCTATGGGGAGCTGGATCAGAAGAGAGAAAAGTTCTGGTTGACCCCATTTGCATCTCTAACAGCTCTGACTGTGCGCTGAGGAGAGCTTCATGTCTCCTGCCTTTTCCTGAAGGATGAACCATGACCCCTGCATGCAGTGCTCAGGAATCACGAGGACAGAAACTTAGAGCAAAAAGCATAACAGGCTTCGGACATAAGTCAGTTCTAGGTATCTGTTCTTACCTTTCTTCCATTCTTCTTGCCACAGGTGGAGAGCTGAACTGTGCTGAAGGGGAGATTCTTTCTGGGAGTGACACAGGAGGACACTTCTCTGTCCTCTAAATCAGGAGATAATGTGCAGGAGCTGGAGTGAAAGCTGGTGGCCAAGCAAGGTTTATCAAGATACTGGACAGACCTTGCAATTTCCTGTATAGGAACTGTGGGCAGGACAAAGACCTGATTCCTTATCGAGATGATTCTCATCATTTGCCCCAAGGTCACTCATATGTCAGCCACTCCCATCCTACCCCATTCGGTTATCCTCTTGGTAAGTAATCACTGTTGTGAAATCTACAGTGGACAACTATGAGCCTGGGGGACGAGGTCAAGCAATATGAATTTGTATCGTAAGACTTTACAACTAAAGAATGAAGTGTATTGTAGAGTGATCGAAAGTTTACCATGGCTATAACCCACTTATTTGTTTGTTTGAATTATCACAACAATATGCATTCATGTATATATATATATTCTTCATCAATGATAAGAAGTATATACAAGGTGACAGTTTCCCTGAATCCCATTCTCCAGAGGCCATCCGATTCTTATTTCCTTTATTATTATTAGCTCTGAACCATAATGTACAATTATATTTTTAAATTATCAGCATTAAGCAGTGAATCATTTGACTTCCTTTATAAAATGTAAGGCGTTCAGCACACAAAACATTCTTCTTCCCTCTTCTATTTCATCTAATTTTAAAATTTATTTTCATTTGATGTAAATATTAAAAATTTAAGTCTTCTCTCTCTTTTTTTTAGTTCTTTTTTAAAATTTATTAATTTGTTTTTGTTACAGATGTTTCTCATTTTTTTCCCCATTGACACCCTCCTCCCCTTCCTCCCACCCCATCCCCAGCTTTGTTGTCTATGCTCATTGGTCATGCATAAATGCATGTAAGTCCTGTGGTTTATCTCTCCCCCCACCTAACCTCCGTCCTCTGAGGCTGGTCAGTCTGTACCTCACCTCTATGTCTCTGGGTTAATTTTGTTCAGCAGTTTGTTTAGTTCATTATATTTCACAAATAAGTGAGATTATGTGATATTTGTCTTTCTCTGCTTGGCTTATTTTGCTTAGCATAATACTGTC